ATATCTGGGTTGTGCTGTTCTGTTGTAAATAAATCTTAACCAATGATTCCTAATTGTATCTACTTTCGGAAGGCCAAATAAAGTGCTTTTGCTTTTGCACTGAAATACACAGCGTCTCCCTGACATGGCTGCATCAAAACTACTGCTGTTCCTGAAACCACGCCTTCTTTCTTTGCGTGTACATTTGGGCGGCATTATGCTAATATTTCCACATAGTGACTTAGACATGTGGGGGCATGTTAGAATGAGCTGTTTTAGGTAGGAGTGGCTGACTCTTAACTTTTATAAAGAATATCTCTTTGGATTTGAGACTTTAGTCTTTGCAAATTTACAGATCTTCTTTATGCACCAAGAGCTTGTAACACTCCAAAGAGAAAGGAAAACTTGAAATCGCATCATATGACCCCTTTAAAAACACAAAATTATAGAGTGACCACATTTCGTATTCTCCCATAAAGTGTTTCAGACTGTGTAGTTGGATCAGTATGTGACAAAGTAACTTATATGTTGGTACTGTGCCGTAGTGCTTAAGCACACATGCTCACATTGAGCTTTGGTGCTCAAGAGGGAGATACCAACTTTTCTTCCCATTATTTACTCTACTGCCTCCAAAATAATTTCATTTTATATAAAGTAATAACATTAGGATTCGTCTCCAACAAAAAATAATTAATAAATTATATTTTGCTCAAAACATTTTATTGAAAGATTTTTAAACAAATTTTTCATAACATCTGGCACACCATTTCTCCTTACTGTTATTATATTTTATTTCATTTATTCATCCAAGTAAATATGTAAAAAAAAAATGTATTTATATATTATGAGAGCTTATACATAGTGTTTTGCTGAATTGTAATGTTCTTTACTGACTATAATTGATTTAGAATTGTTACTAAGAACAAAAGTCATCTTTTACTTATATGTTAATATGTGTAAAGCTGAAATTGTTTTAATAATATTACAGTTTGCATTACGTTGCTGCACAAAGTCCATCTACCAGTTGTGGAAAAACCATCAGAATTTGTTTACCAAGGGCATTAGGCTCTATCACCGTTTTTACTCTTGCTATTTTCATTAGCTGATTCTATTTAGAGCTGTATCTCACCAGATGAAACCAAATATTACAATAATGTTTTTTTGTTTGTTTGTTTTTCCCCTCAGTTTCACACTGTAAGGACTGAGACTACATTGTAACCACAGGATGCTGTTGAAATATAGCTGCCCATTAATGTTCACTTTCTGTGTGTTTCTTCTGTGCTTTCACCAGGAAAACAGAGGATTTGCATGGTTATCCTAAATCAGCCGATAGATGAGCAGTACTTCCATGTGCTGTGGAGTAAAGGTATTGATTTTGTGATTAATATCACACATCGGCCTATGGTTTGATGCTTGTCTGTACTTGTCTTCCTTGCTTGTGCAGTAGAGTATGGTGACACACCTGGCACAGAACACACTGGAAAAAGCCAGACAGGCCTAAATGTTGATATATATAACGGAGATATGTATGCTATAAAGCTTACAGCTGAAAACTCATCTCTTTCGAAGCTACTTGACTTCATCATAAAAAAATATTTCTATCTCTTTACTTATTCCTTCTCTTCCTAGCTTGTACTTATTTGAACAATGTCTAGAAACTTGGTATCACAAGCACTTCCTGTATCTGTTTGCCGCTTTAAGAAGAATCGCTTTATGTATCCCCCAATTGTAAGTCGCTTTGGATAAAAGCTTCTGCAAAATGACTAAATGTAAATGTAAATGTATAAAGCTCTTATAACCTATATGCATTAGTCATCTTTTCGATCCCCCACTGGATGAGCTATGATTATATAACTCTTGTTTTTTGTTTGTCTTCATAGCTTATTAAAGTTACTTTTTATTTTTAAATTTTACTAAGTATTAAGTAAAATTCTAAATATTTTAAATACTATGAAAATATATACAAATTCTAAGATACACAATGCATGTATGCAGATTGGGACGCACCTAATGTTTTTTTTTTTTTTTAAAGCTGCCTGTCAATTAAAAATTATATCGAATTAATTCAATGATATTCTAATTCAAATTAATTAAATAAAATTTCTTTTTTTTTTGGCTGTGAAATCATCTCAGCTAAAGATAAATCATTAGATTAGACATTACATTAGTGAGGCAGATGAGTAAATTATTAATTGCATTAATTTTCCTATTGCATTGTTTTCATAATTAATTGAACTCAATTTGTGCATTAATTTGATTGCCCTAGTTTCTTTCTTTGCAGATTTTTTAGGGCTATTGAAGCCCTTTCAGCAGTGCAATAAGTTAATAAAATGTCTTTTTATTTGTTTTATACATTTTTCCTGTTGTTTGTAGACTCTTTCCTTCTGACGGTTGCCGCTTTGTTTTTAAGCAGGCGAGAGATTAACTATATTGCACTAGCTTTTGTTGGTTTCCTGAATTGATCTCATTTAAAAACTCTTGATCATGTAATTCCTCTGCCCTTGCATCAGAGATACTGTGCATTTTTCATGTGGCTTTGCTCTGGAGGCAAAGCAGGTGGGCGACGAGTGTGTTGCTGGGAGCAGGGTGAACATATCCAGATGGTTTTCCTTGAGGGACTGGGGCAGGGCGCTCCACCCCTCCTCCAGTGAGCCTCAGAAGTGCAGTCCTATGGGCCGGTGGCACCACCAGTGCTCTATAGGACTGGATGATCAAAGACGACACTTTGTGGATACCAACACATTTTTGTATGCTTTGCAAAAGTAACTTCAAAAGTTCACTTCTTTCTTATTTCAGTTCTATGATTAGTACTGAATTTTAAACTGCAATCTCTTTTATTTTATTTAAGAAACAAGATACTGTGAAACAGTAATAAAAAAATAACTTATTTTAATATAGTTACATTTTTAGCTTATTCCTGTGATGGCAAAGTTGAATTTATTGCATAATAATATTGTGGAAACATGACACTTTTTTTCTGGATTTAAAAAAAAATAAATATAAAGTAAAAAAAAAACTCCAGCATTTATTTGGAATAGAAAACTTTTGTAACATTATAAATCTTTCCTGTCAAAATATTAATATTAATAAAAAAAATAAAATCAATTCAAATAAAATCTTACAGACCGAAACACATTTTTAACCGTACTGTATATAAAGCCACAAATTTTCCTCAAAAGTGTCCTACTCAAATAGATTTTTTTTAAGTACACTCTAAAAAATGCTGGGTTGTTTCAACCCAACTTTGGGTCAAATAAGGACTAACCCAACTTTTGGGTTAAAAATGTAATGTAAAAATGTAACCCAACGGTTGGGTTAGTCTATATTTGACCCAAAGTTGGGTTGAAACAACCCAGCATTTTTTAGAGTGTATGAACCGTTACAAAGTGTACAAACCAGTCGAAAACCACATCAATCTTATTTAAATCAAAGTTTTTGCATTGCATCTCAGTCTGATCTTTTTTAACTTCTATATTTTTTGGAGCTGTATACACTCTAGATACACTCATTTTTAGACAGTCAGTCTAAAAGATTGAATTTGAAAACCAAATCAGATTTGTGGAAGCCATAGTCACCTCTTGTAAGCTGGCCTTCTCTAATAGTGGTGTTTATAGAAGGAAATGCTTTAAATGTCCTGCTGTGATAAAAGCTTGGTGTATTGAAGAATTGACATAGAAATCAGATACACTATAGTATACCATTTCTTTCTTCTGTCCAGAAACCTTTCTTCCAAATATTGTGGTATGTGGAGTAATTAGTCCTCTCTCTGTATTGAAGAGTGTGAAAGGGCCTCATTTGTTTGACAGTTTGTTTTGCAATACCACCAGTGTTTTGGCTGGGCTTTTTATAATCTTTTGGAACGTTTCACATTCTTTGACGTTTTGGTCAATGGATGGATTGTGGGTTTGGGTTGCTTGATGGGCTTGATAATGATTTACAGTTTTGTGGCTTTCAGTCCATATCTGTAAGCCTCCTAAACATTATTTATCAGAAAATTGACATTTATAATGAAACAAATTATATCTATTTTTAATCAATTCTGTTCTTTGTTTCTTTGTTTCTTTCATCAAAGAATCTTGAAAAAATGTCTCACGGTTTCCACAAAAATATTAAGCAGCACTGTAACTGTTTACAAAATTGATCATTAAAAGAAATAATTCTTGAGCTCCAAATCAGCATGAATGATTTGTGAAAGATCATGCGACACTGAAGACTGCAGTAATGACTGCTGAAAATTCAGCTTTACCATTACAGGAATAAATAGCATTTATAAATGCATTGAAATAGAAAACTGCTTGTAATATTTCATAATATTAATGTTTTACTGTGTTTTTGATCATATAAATGCAGCCTTGGTGAACATAAGAGACTTCTTTCAAAAACATTACAAAATCTAAGCAACCCCATAACTTTTAAACGGTAGTGTATTCATTGTTTTTAAAATTTCAGTTTTGCACTTTCAAAAAAATATTGATTACTCATCTTATACATAGATTTTTGTCCAATCAGATGCTCTCTAAAATGAGAAATATTACAACTAACAACAAGTAACAAATAACTTATGGCCATGGCCATGAAAAAGGCTTACCGGCTTTTTTTTTTATTTTTTTAAATGTATCCTGCCCAAACGTCCTCCTTCAATGGAAATACAAAATTGTAGACCTAAATTAAAAGTTTTGCACCCATTCTCCCTCTCAACTCTTTTGAGGATAAAGAAACCATCTTAAAAGGCATACTAACCTTCCATTTTGCTCGTTGACCACTCGTCCCTCTTTGATTTACAGAGGCCACAGGCTTCACTTCACTTCCACTGCCAAAAGACATTAAATCAGCGACAGCAAAGTATGCCTCATCAATATTTGTCCCCCATAAAACACCGCCCGAGTAGCAAAAGTTCATGACAGGAAGAGGAAGCACTGCTGGTGGATTATGAAGTGTTTATTTACAAGGTTATCTGTCCTGCACCAGGGCTTCGGTAAAAGAGCATTCACGAATGATTTACCCCCTCCAGCATCTCCGGCCGTCATAATGCTGCCTTACCACAAGTGAGAATGGTTGGTTGGTTGGTTGTTTACTTTTGGACAACCCACCGCAAGATTTTTTGTAAAGCTTTTCAGTAGATGAAAACCAGTTATTTTTATAGATTCAATTAATTTTGATTGTAATGATGAAGAGGTGATGATTCATAAGTCTAAAAGAATCACATTATCTTGCAGTTGGGAATATCCTAACAACTTTAGCAACATGCTAAACATGCTATCAGTATATTAAGACATGTTAGCAACATTCTAAAACATGCTAGTGATGTGCTAAAACAAGCTACAAACATGTTAGCAACTTGTTAAAACAAGAGAATAACTGGTGCGCCCAAAATTGCATACTGTCTGAATTGGTATTTGAATTGAACTTACTTCACGACTGTTAAAGAATTTCTAATATATAGTAGGGAAGTATTTGATTTCAGATGCAGCAAAAGTCTTGGACAAAGCAGAGCATGTGATCTTGCAGCTGTAATTAAACATCCAGTGTGCCAAAATATGTTAGCAACATGTTAAAACATGCTATTAATATGCTAAAACATGTTCTAAAACAAGCTAACAACATTATGAAACATGCTGGTAATTGCATAGCAACACTCTAAGCGACAAACATCTTCAAACTTCAAGCTTTTCAAACATTTTCACTGAATTGTTGTTCATTAACAGCATGAAGAAAGCCAAAAGTGATGCTTCTTAAATTCAGTCTTGAAAGGCAGATCACATGACCTTGCAGCTGTAATTGAACCCACATTTTAGATATTCACAGCACATTTAGAACTGAAAGCAGTTTAAGTGCCATTGATTCTCAAGATTCATGGCCATGGATGTTACACGATTGCCTATTTTGCTCGGCATGTGGTAAAGTCTTCATTTTATTGAAGACTTCATATTAATATATTTGCCTGGTGTCAAAATAATGAGTCATTTGCATTCAGCCCAGTGCTTTTAAGTCTTGCTCATAGCTGGAGTTCTCGGCTGCACTCAATTACGCCCTGTTTTCCGGTTAGAGATGTAGCACGCTGTTTACTTTGATGGGATCTTTACAGAAAAGCTTCTTTGATTCACCTCCCGAGACTGCATTGAAAACGCCAGTGTAATCACCCTATGAACAAATGATGATGTCTTTGCCAGACCAATTGAGCTGTCTGGGAACTAATGAATGACTGGCCTGGATGCATCATCATGAGACGTTATTTCATCAGAACTAAAGAGCAAATGATTGTACGGTTTACTTGTGTCTTTGTAAGTATATCTTATCTGGGTCATTACTGACAGACTTGTACTGCACGATTGTAAAAAAAAAAAAACCTTTATAAAATGTGTTTTATTGCTTTTTGAATAAATATTTTTAAAAAGCTGATAATTATACACTAACAAACACTCTTATAAGTAGCCTAAGCGTATGAGGCGCAGATTTAACACATTAATTTGGAATTATTATTTTAATAAATAAACCAATAGCACATATGTACAAAATAATGCCTTATTGTTTTTTATTTAAATATGTGCAATACATATTAGATTTAGTATTATATAATAAATATATTATACTTATTACAAACAAATAAATAAATTTGTGTAGGGAATTTGTCTTAATTAAAATCATTTGGGGCTTTTCTCTGGATCGATAGACAGACTGATGGATGGAAGGATGGATGGTAAATATTTGAATTTTTCTAGGGCTTTCAACTGTCACTTTAAAGTGTAATTTTGCTATGATGAATTATTAAAAAATAAAATACTTTTAAATGCTATAAAACTATTTCAGTATCTTTTCAGTTACTTGTTACAATAATGTAATGTTCATTTGACTGCATGACTCGTGATTGATTGATTGATTGATTGATTGATTGATCTTTAATTAACTATCAGCCCTATTTTTTCCTTTACAATGTGTAGTTAATGCCCTGCTGATTTATTAGACTCTCAGTAGCTTATATCAATCAGTCATTGACCACAGAATAGCCTGTAGACTGCAGATAAATAGCACCAAATAGGTCGACTTTAAGTTAGTGTACATAGAATCTAGTCTAAGACATTGTTTAGACGTCTAGGAAACAGACAGCAAAAGCAACAAAAGTGTCATTTTTTGTACATGTCATCCAGAGCAAGATGAACCTCGCAAGCAGTCAAAAAGTGTATTATCACGTTTTCAAGAGTACATAAACTTTTTCAGTTCATGAAGGTGCTGTGTAAATTGAAAGTGAACGTTCTTGTGTTGTTGTGCTTCCACCCCCTCCTGTGTCACCAAGCAGAGAAAAAGTGGTGACAATTAATTCGTACAGGTGTTTAAAATGTTTTCCTTGATCCTCCTCATACTTTCATCTGAAATAAGTTCTTTTTAACAGTAAGCCCAAAGCCATCGTGTCCATTAGGATCGCAGCAGTGTCTTGCAAACGCATTCCATTATTCATGAGGCATATGATGCAATTCTGTTCCCTTGATGCTTGGCCATAAACCAACTGTGCTGACAAGATTACGTTCGTCTTGACATGATCTTTGTGACGATTCCTCACTCTCATAGGCATAACATCTGAGTGATTGTCCCAGAAAATCATCTTTGTTTCATGCGGCCGTGAAAATATTCCCTCCATTTTTCATGGAATGTATTTGAAAAAACATAAAGTCACCTCTGTTTGTTTATAAATGTTAAATGAATTGGGATTTTGTGGTTTTAAATAATAGGATTGCAGGCTTATAACCAAGCTACTTGATAAATGGAGGAAGGAAAGTCTTCAAAGGAAGAAAAAAGCTGTCACTCTCAAAGCACCTGGTTTAAAATAACTAATTTATTCAGTGAAAATGCTCAGTGTTTTAAATTCCGGTTTGTTACATCTGGCTATTGTCTAGAGAGTGAATCCCACATCTGTGTGCGTTAGTTCATCAGCTGCAAAAAGTCAAGAGCACTTCCTCTGAACTTCTTCTCATTCTCATGTCGAGACTTCAACGTCGGCAGGATCATCATTTTAATGTCACTTTTAGATGTTATTTTTTGTACTCTTCCAACTGAGCATATGCTGTGACATATTTCCCAGATTTGTCAGCCTGCACTGAATTCAAAAACTAAAAACCAAATCTCAGGTAACACTTTACTTGAAGCCTGTTTAAATAGCATTTATAAAGGTTGCCATAATGCCTTATGCACATTTTCATGCATAATATTTAATGCATGCTTATTATATATCTACATCTCTCTCTCTCTCTCTCTCTCTCTCTCTATCTATCTTATGTAATTATATATAATAAATATATATTATAATAATACAAAATCTCATTGCAAAATATATATGTGTATATGTGTGTGTGTGTGTGTGTGTGTGTGCGCGTGTGTGTGTGCCTTATGAATATGTCTTACGCACATTTTCCATCTATTATATTTTTTCATAATTTTAGGGAATTCTTTTTATTATACAGTATCTCACATAAGTGGGTACACCCCTCACATTTTTGTAAACATTTTATTATATCTTTTCATGTGACAACAATGAAGAAATGCCATTTTGCTACAATGTAAAGTAGTGAGTGTGCAGCTTGTATAACAGTGTAAATTTGCTGTTCCCTCAAAATAAGTCAACACACCATTAATGTCTAAACCGCTGGCCACAAAAGTGAGTACACCCCTAAGCGTTATTTTGAGGGTCAGCAAATTTACACTGTTATACAAGCTGTACACTCACTACTTTACAGTGTAAATTTGCTGTCCCCCTCAAAATAACTCCACACACAGGCATTAACCGCTGGCCACAAAAGGGAGTACACTCCTAAGTGAACATGTCCAAATTGGGCCCAAAGCATCTATTTTGTGTGCCCACCATTATTTTCCAGCATTGCCTTAACCCTCTTGGGCATGGAGTTCACCAGAGCTTCACAGGTTGCCATTGGAGTCCTCTTCCACTCCTCTATGATGACATCACGGAGCTTGTGGATGTTAGAGACCTTGCGCTCTTCCACCTTCCGTTTGAGGATGCCCCACAGATGCTCAATAGGGTTTCGGTCTGGAGACATGCTTGGCCAATCTTTAGAAAGGCAGTGGTCATCTTGGATGTGTGTTTGGGGTTGTTATCATGTTGGAATACTGCCCTGCGGCCCAGTCTCCGAAGGGAGGGGATCATGCTCTGCATCAGTATGTCATAGTACATGTTGGCATTCATGGTTCCCTCAATGAAATGTAGCTCCCCAGTGCCGGCAGCACTCATGCAGCCCCAGACCATGACACTCCCACCACCATGCTTGACTGTAGGCAAGACACACTTGTCTTTGTACTCCTCACCTGGTTGCCGCCACACACGCTTGACACCATCTGAACCAAATAAGTTTATCTTGGTCTCATCAGACCACAGGACATGGTTCCAGTAATCCATGTCCTTAGTCTGCTTGTCTTCAGCAAACTGTTTGCAGGGCTTTCTTGTGCATCATCTTTAGAAGAGGCTTCCTTCTGGGACGACAGCCATGCAGACCAATTTGATGCAGTGTGTGGCGTATGGTCTGACCATTGACAGGCTTACCCCTCACCCCTTCAACCTCTGCAGCAATGCTGGCAGCACTCATACGTCTATTTCCCAAACACAACCTCTGGATATGACGCTGAGCACGTGCACTCAACTTCTTTGGTCGACCATGGCGAGGCCTGTTCTGAGTGGAACCTGTCCTGTTAAACCGCTGTATGGTCTTGGCCACCGTGCTGCAGCTCAGTTTCAGGGTCTTGGCAATCTTCTTATAGCCTACACCATCTTTATGTAGAGCAACAATTCTTTTTTTCAGATCCTCAGAGAGTTCTTTGCCATGAGGTGCCATGTTGAACTTCCAGTGACCAGTATGAGAGAGAGTGAGAGCGATAATACCAAATTTAACACACCTGCTCCCCATTCACACCTGAGACCTTGTAACACTAATGAGTCACATGACACCGGGGAGAGAAAATGGCTAATTGGGCCCAATTTGGACATTTTTACTTAGGGGTGTACTCACTTTTGTGGCCAGCGATTTAGACATTAATGGCTGTGTGTTGAGTTATTTTGAGGGGACAGCAAATTTACACTGTTATACAAGCTGTACACTCACTACTTTACATTGTAGTAAAGTGTAATTTCTTCAGTGTTGTCACATGAAAAGATATAATAAAATATTTACAAAAATGTGAGGGGTGCTCACTTCTGTGAGATACTGTAAATATATGTACTGCATTCTAATTACTATTATATTTCATAATTGTATTATATATGAAAATTACTTTTAGATTTTCATATAGTACATGTAATATTACACACAGTGTCGATCAAGATTCATTATGTAGATTTGACTGTCATATCCCTCGTCAAAACCAGTGGCCTGTTTAACTGGATTTAGCTTCCCATTGGCCTTACCTTGGAAATGACAAGGCTCACTATGCTTATCAGAATCGATGATGATCCTGACAGGACAGACTGACCTTCATCCTGAAATGATTAGTGTTTTCGCGAAAGGCACAAGGGAGCCATTACTGTCAGCCTGGCCATGATCTAGAATAATCTATTTGTTTTCATTTCAGCACGTCAGCAGTTACCGAGATGGGCTCTGAAATGGCTTCAAACGTATAGCTGTATAATGTGATTTCAATTATATTTATCTCTTCACTAATTTTTACGTCCAGATCTGAGTTGTAATGAAGCGGATCAAGGATTCATCTAAGCACCTCCTGTTTCTATTTTGCCATTTCAGCCAAGATCCGAGCATGTGCAGACGGAGGTGCCAATCATCTGTACCGGCTCACGGAGGGTCATCACAAGAGGTGAGAACCCTATTTTGGCTCACTCGGAGGGCAGAGATGGATCTGGTGATGTCAAGTTCTGGTGTCATTGCACATGTTCTTTCTCAGAACTGCTGGACTTGAAGGAGGCCTCAGGAGTATCCCGCTTGCCAGAGTGCTTTCAGAGGACTTAACTCCTAATCCATCACCTTTTGTCAGTGCCTGACAGGCCAGATTCATCTCAGGCCTCTAAATTGGGTACTTCTCTCCCCTCCAGAACAGTTTACAATTGTTTTCTTTTGTTTGGGTTCCTTTGTGTTCTACAACCTAAAAATAACACTGAGTCTCAGACTCTCCAAGCACCGAAATCACAACTGAGTGATGGGACTTAACACATAATGGTGCATTTGTTTATTTTAAAATGAAAATTCTGTCATTATTTACTCACTCTCATGGCATTCCAAACTTCTGTTTTGTTATTTTGATACCTAAAAAAAAAGCACAATAAAAGTAGTTCATGTGATTATATTCAGGGAAGACTTCTGAAGCTATGTGATAGCTTTGTGCAGTGAATACACTGAACTTAGACTAGGAATGTAGTGTATGACTTGTATAGACTATTTTGATACCTTTGGTGCCTTTACATTTGGAAAAATCAGTAATTTTGAGACAGTGTTTGTCTTTTGTTAAAGGAATATTCCAGGTTTGATACAAGTTAAGCACTATTAGGAGCATTTGTGGTGTAATGTAGATTACTGCTAATAATAATAATAATTTTCAGTCATTCCATGTTATTTTGCAAAAAATCAAAAAGTGAGATTACTGTATTACATTTACTGTATGGAAGTGAATGGTGCCAATTTGGGGGTATTTAAAAACAAAAATGTGAGACTAATGATTGTCATTTTAGTGTTATGTTGTCATGTCAATGAAGTTGTAAAATTGAATGTACAAAGAAAAAGGCTAGTAAGTGTTAGTAAGTTTTTTTTTCACACTAAAATCATGTTAATATGCCTATAGTTTATTTATGCTAGCAGTAAGTATTTTATTGTTTACAGATTGGTCCCATTCACTTCCGTTTAAGTTCCCCCAAAAATGAAAACTCTGAACCTGTATGAGTTTCTTTCTTTAGTGGAACATAAAAGAAGATATTCACTTCCATAGTATGGGGTGGGGGTGGGGGGGGGATACACTGGAAGTCAATGGCTACCTGCAACTGATTTGTTACCAGCATTTTTTTAAATATTTTTATTTTTGGGTGAACTAATTAATGTTAGCAACTTTAAACAAAACCAAATGGTACTTTAATAATCTTCAATCAGAATTGATTCGGATTAACGCATATTTTTGTATACGCATATTTAGTCTTTTTATGGTGTCACAATGATTATTAATATCTTTAAATTACTGAAAACATGCAACACACTTCTTGTGCACTTCTTTAAATCTGAAATGAATAAGCATGATATTGTCGTAAGACGCTTGAGCCAGTAAAATAACATATTGTGGATTTAAATAGGAAAACAAAGCAAATGAGAAGATAAAATGGATATATATTAAGCCACGTACAATAGAGCTGCTACTTCAAAACAGCTGGTTTATTGTGATGGCAGGCATATTTAAGAGAGTGAAAATGCCTTCGTAGGGAGCTAATGATACATTCTGCGTACTGCCAGTAAAGTATGTTTCGACTGCGATGGTCAGAAGCTTGTTGTTTTGAGCTTATCAGCTTGCAGCAGCACTGCCAAAGACACCTCAAAGGACGTTCCAAAAAATAAACAATATCTTTTGAATGCACACATACAGCAGGCCCTGTTCCATGTCACATCCATCAGTTCTCTTGTACCTGTCATTGCTTTACTCTGTATGCTTTTGTTGTCATCTGTAGATTTTTTTTTTTTCCAGAGCTGCCAGAAGAGAGTATAGAAGCCTTCTCCAGACAGTTAGCCATATGCGGTGACAATAGGGAATATCTATTAAATGGAAATTAATTGGGATCTGGGCAACAAGCAAAATATTCCATATTTGGAGATGAATATCATCAGCCGACGCAGTGTTTTTTTTTGTTTCTGCTTAGATTAAATGAAGGAATTCACAGTTTTGAAGGAATTAAAGGGGATTGTTCAGGCCAAAATAGCATTTCTGTCTTCTGCTTACCCTCATGTCATTCCATAACTAATTCAGATATTTTTAATGAATCGGTTGGTCAAGTTCACAAAACTAATCTAAATAATTGTAATTTGTTGAATGATTTTGTCATTTTCATTTGGAAAAACAATGGTCTGAATGATTCATATATTTTCAGTTAATTGCTTTATCATTTTCCAAAATGATCTGAACGATTCAGATTTTTAAGTGAATCAGTTGATCTAGTTCATAAAACTGGAATGCATGATTCAGATCATTGTAATTAATCAGCTAATCCAGTTCTCAAAACTGATCTTAATAATTTGAATATTTTTGCTTTATTCAGTTCTCAAAACTAAACTGAATGATTCAGATCTTTTAGTGAATCACTTGATGTAGTTCTCAAAGCTGATCTTAATCATTTTAATGTTTTGAACAAATTGTTTGATTCAGTTTGAAAAATGCTCTGAATGATTTAGATATATTTATTAATAGCTTGATTTACTTCACAAAACTCAATTATTAAAATCTTTGAGCAAATCAGTCGATTCAGTTCACAGAAAAAAAAACTGAATGATTTAGATATCTTCAGTGAATCCAAATCATTCACAAAAATGATCAATGGTTTGTTCATTAATAGAACTGATTCAGCTGTTCAATTTACTGACTCAGTGATCATTTGCCAGTGTTACCAACTCATTGGAAGAAAAGATTATCAATGAATTACAACATAAAATGCGCTCTGTTTCTCACACAAGAGTTATATGACCAGAAGACTTGAAATGTAGCACATAAGTCATTTGAAACACTTTCAAAACTAATCTAAATAATTGTAATTTGTTGAATGATTTTGTCATTTTCATTTGGAAAAACAATGGTCTGAATGATTCATATATTTTCAGTTAATTGCTTTATCATTTTCCAAAATGATCTGAACGATTCAGATTTTTAAGTGAATCAGTTGATCTAGTTCATAAAACTGGAATGCATGATTCAGATCATTGTAATTAATCAGCTAATCCAGTTCTCAAAACTGATCTTAATAATTTGAATATTTTTGCTTTATTCAGTTCTCAAAACTAAACTGAATGATTCAGATCTTTTAGTGAATCACTTGATGTAGTTCTCAAAGCTGATCTTAATCATTTTAATGTTTTGAACAAATAGTTTGATTCAGTTTGAAAAATGCTCTGAATGATTTAGATATATTTATTAATAGCTTGATTTACTTCACAAAACTCAATTATTAAAATCTTTGAGCAAATCAGTCGATTCAGTTCACAGAAAAAAAACTGAATGATTTAGATATCTTCAGTGAATCCAAATCATTCACAAAAATGATCAATGGTTTGTTCATTAATAGAACTGATTCAGCTGTTCAATTTACTGACTCAGTGATCATTTGCCAGTGTTACCAACTCATTGGAAGAAAAGATTATCAATGAATTACAACATAAAATGCGCTCTGTTTCTCACACAAGAGTTATATGACCAGAAGACTTGAAATGTAGCACATAAGTCATTTGAAACACTATTGTGATACTTTTATGATACTACTTTGTCGTTTTAGAGCTTGACAATTCCAGTCCTCATTTACTTTCATTATCTTGAAAAGACATGGGCATGCATAAATGATGAGTTTTTGTGTGAACTATGAAAACTGTTGAGTTGACCAAAACCTACAATGTGTATCTAATGATACTTGGATATCAGGCTGCGCATTGTGGCATCTGGTTGTTTTTTATACTCATTTGTGAGCAATGGCTGATTGGTTTAGACCAACGTCCGCACATTCCCTGAAGTCTTTTTGATGCAGGACCGGAACACATTTCATATGTCTGTCAGACCTCTGTCCTTGCCTAATTACATGCATCCACAGTAATTATTCATTTTTAATCTTCCTGTGCAAACAGGAGCTGACAGGGAGAGAAATCTTCAGAGGAGCTGGTGCCCAGATCAAGACATATACTGTTATTATCTCACAGTGCCTTAAATGTAATTACTGCATTGACCTTTCCCAGTACTTTGATTAGTTTAGAAAGCTCAGCTTTATTTAAACTGAAGCAGTGAACACACTATTCCTTAGAGCTCATGAAACATACTATGCTTTATTCTGCCATTTGCAGATGGTATCGGCCATTATGATGAAACAGATTTCTAGTCCCAGACTACCTGGATTATCAACAGTGATTGCTCTCTGGATAATCTTCCAATGTTCAGATTCTTATTAACTGTTACATTGGTGTATATACAGTTCTCTTAATATGGCTACTGTTAAGAGAGAGAGAGAGCTGTGAGAGCTTCTCTCTGAAAGATGAATTAGTTATTTTAATTGCTTTGGCTTTCATAACTTTCATATTTATATTATATTATTGATTTTAAAAAATGAGCATATTATAATGATTTCTTAAAGATTATCTCATACTGGAGTAATGCATGCTGAAATACAGTTTAGCCATCACAGCAATGAATTACATTTTAAAATGCTACATTTTAATTTGTTTCAAAAAGAAAATGGTTATTTTAAATTATTCAATTATTTTAAAACAAATAAGTGCAGCCTAGGTGAGCATAAGAGACTTCTTTAGAGACCTATATTTTATTTTATTGACAGTGAACCTTAATGAAAGCGCAGTAGCAGGTTTTGAATGATGCAGTTGCTTCATAAAATATGAATCTATGCAATGAATGTTAAAGCTGTAAAGACGTTTCTGACAGTAATTTATTATTTCACACCATATTTAAACGCAGCCATACTCTGCACTTTTATAACATTTTATTATCCTCTTATAGTTCACTTGTGATGTTAGTAATTTAGGCTTTTTGCAACTGAAATTTACCACTACAGAACTATTTTACAATTAAATGGCTTGTTTTTTTGCCATTCCTTTAAGACTTCTATGTG